TCTATCAGGGCTGGGGCAATGCATGGATGAGTAGAGAGGAAGTCCTGATCGCATAGAACGCTGCCCTCTCCCAGCAACCTCCTGTTTTGTGTTTTTCCAAGCTTCTGGAAGTCCACTTCTCAATAGCTGTCAGGCTGAATGAAGACAGACCTTTATCCAGTCTGTCTATTGATTCTCAACGTGCTCCTAACTGCAACCACGTGTGAGCACTAGCGATGACCATGGTGGTCATGACACCACAGAGCACAGCCTAGAGTCTTTAACAACAGATCCTAAGTTACTTGTCTTTTCACTAAAACCTGTTAGCTTTTGAGAGTCTGGGGGAAGGACAGGAAACCCAGTGGGTTTGTGACGTATCCTTCATACTTATTTAGAACATTGTAATCAGTCTGGTTTGTCCATCTCAGCTCTGTCTTCATATCATTTATGAGATATAAGTAAGGACTCAAAGGCAAATTTCCACAGAAATCACAGGACTTCTAAGACTTTATACAGTGCATTTTAATTTTAATTCATTTTTAACAGACACATATAGACATAAAAATTGTATAAATTTATGGGTATAATCTATATATCATGTCATTTTATTTATTTATTTATTTAGAAACAGGGAACCTTCATTTAGATCTTGCTGTCCAGAAACTCACTGGACCAGGCTGGCCTTGAACTCAGAGATTCATCAGCCTCTACTTCCCAATTATTGAGATTAAAGGCCTGTGGCACTACACCTGACTTTTGTATGATAGTTAAATCAACATAATCTTATCAATCTTCACAAACATTTATCTTTTTTATTTGTTTGTTTGTTTGAGACAGAGTTTCTTTGTACACCCCTTGCTGCCCTGGAATTCACTCTATAGACCAGGCTGGCCTCGAACTCAGAGATCTGCCTGCTCTGCCTGGGATTAAAGTGCTGAGAGTAAAGGTGTGTGTACCATTATCTCCTGGCAACATTTACCATTTCTTTATGGTTAAGATTCTAATTATTTTTTCTAGCATTATTTATTTAGTTTATCTATCTATCTATCTATCTATCTATCTATCTATCTATCTATCTAGGATTTCTCTGTGTAGCCTTGGCTGCCCTGGAACTCACTCTAGACCAGGCTGACCTCGAACTCAAAGATCCATTGCCTGCCTCTGCCTCCCTAGTGCTGGGAGTAAAGGCATGCACCACCATGCCTCGTGATGAGGATCAGTTGTGGAGTGGAAGGGGGTTGAAGTGTGAGGGACCCAGGTGAGGACAGCAGCCTTCTCAGTGAAGTCCCTACAGGCCCACCATTATTAATTTACTTAATTTTTGAGACAGGTTCTCTCTGTGTAGTCCTGGTTGTCCTGGAACTCTCACTATGTAGATCAGGCTGGCCATGAACTCAGAGATCCATTTGCCTCTGACTCCTGGAGTGCTGGGATAGTCTAACCTGTGTTCTCATGAGCAACAACTAACTTCTGCCATCAAGCCCCCCGAGGCAGAAATCCCCAGGGTCTTCTATGGTACAGCCCTTGCCCTCCACCACACACATTGATTCAATGTAGGGAGAGATCTTATATAGGCGAGATCCCAAGAATCTTGGGGAGTTCTGTGACCGGCAGTCACATCTCGGTCCTGCTTTCTTCCCAGGGAGTTTGCAGGCTGGCAAGTCAAGACATTCAGGAGAATGTAGGAAACAAACCAAAGGAAACACAGGCTCCTCTTTGCCTCTAGTCTCTTTGCAAGCCTGATCTCCAGATAAGACACAAAACAGAAGAGAAGTGCACGCAGCAAGGCCAGCCTAAGCGAACAGAGGGAAGTGGAATTTAACACAAGATCAGAAAATGTATGTATGAGGAAGGTTGCACAGTGAACTACTGCAGGGGAGGAGCTTTAAACAGAAAACTCTAAAGGAGAAAGCTGAAGAAATGACCCATGGAGGCTGGGCATGGTGATCAAGACCTGTAATCTCAACACTCAGTAGGCTAAGAAGGCAGGAGGGTAGTGAGCTGGCAGTCAGTATGGGCTACATAGCCAGTTCCAGGCCAGCCTGGTCTACAGAGTGCAATTTTGTCCATAAAAATTCGAGGTGTTGGGGGAGAAAGGGGAGAAGAAGGAGGAGAGAGAGAATAGGATAGGTGAGGGGGACAGAAGGGAGAGAAAGAGAGGGAGGAGGAGAGAAATGAGAAGGGGAGAAGAGAGAAGTGGAGAGAGGAAGGCGGAAGAAAGGGAGAGAAAAGGCGGACAAGAGATGGGAAGGGAGAGAAAGAGAAGAGGAAAGGGAGGAAGAAGTGGAGAGAGGGAAGAAAAGAAGGGGAGAGAAAAAGGAGCTAGAGGAAGACTGGAGAGAGAAGATGAGGACAAGAGAGGGAAGGAGAAAGGGGGAAGAAAGGGAGAGAGAGAGAAAGGAGGGAAGGGAGAGAGGAGGAGGAAGGAATGGGGCGGCAGGTTAATAAATAGAGGGGGTGGGGTTCAGCAGGAGAGCGCTTGCCTAGCATGCCAGAGGCCTTGGGTTCCATCCCCAGCACACAGAAAAGAAAGAGCTACGTGAATTCTGAAGAGCCACAAAAAATGTTCCATTTGACCCAAGCCGAGAGTGATGCAAGGGACAGAGGAGCGTGACAGGAACGGACTTGGCTTGTTCTCCAGAGGAAGGTTCCAGTAGAACTCCCTGTAACCTTGTAACAGTGGAATACAAGAGCCACTGGCCACTTTTGGTTCTGAGCGCTTGAAACGTGGCTGGCTCCCGTGGAACTGGTTTCTATTGAAGAATCCAGGAACTGAATTTTAAATTTCATTGAGTTTGACTCCTTGGATTTAAATATCTGCCCTTGGCTCATGGGAGCTGTATTGTACAGCGCAGAATGCTTTGATGTCAGAGACTCAGCTCTACGGTAGTTAGGGGGGTAGAAAGGAGAAGTTAAATTTCATTGTGGAGTTAGCGGTCCATTCGGAGCTGCAGGGACACACGGCATATGGCAGGGACGACCAATGGTTTCAACATCGTCCTCCCCCAAAACCTTCTTGAGATTGGACACATGTTCTGATCAGTGGTGGCCTAAAGATGGAGACAACTTGTCGGCAAAATTGACAGGGGTATTCTGGGTATGGGAGTATTTTGCTTGCGTCTACAGCCTAGGGTTAAGTGTTCGAGCCCTGCTTGTTTAAGATCAACTTTGTAATGGCTGTGTCCAGATTCTGTCTCTTGTCTCAGACAAGTCAAGCAACAGGCTTCTTCCTTTCTTTGTTGACAACGTAGTCAGTGGGCCTTGGGAAAAGAAGGTTGAATAAGCAATCATTTTTATTTTATTGTATGTGTATGTGCATGTGCGTGTGCGTCGTAGAAATCAGAGGACAACCAGAGGGAGTTAGCTTTTCTCTTTCTGCCACATGGGTACCATGGATCAAACTCTGGCTCGAAGCATCAGCTTGCTGGTCCTACATTATAAAAAAGCTGAAAGTAAAAGTATAAAACAGCTCATGCTAGTAAGAGCCAGATGTGTTAGGTTCTGAGTTCAGGGAACTGTTTTGACATAATTTGTCTCCTTTGGTCAGGGCTGAAGAGCCCCTCCTAGATTCCTGCCCTCTCCTTCCTTGTCCTGTAAGAACTGATGCCCATGATAATAAAACAGTAGCTGCCTGAACACTTTAGAATCGTAGCCAATGTGTTGATTGCCTCATAGCCACCTTCCTTCCTTCCTTCCTTCCTTCCTTCCTTCCTTCCTTCCTTCCTTCCTTCCTTCCTTTCCGTTGTGTCTAAGTATCAGGGGACAATTTGTGGGAGTCAGTTATCGCCTTCCATGTGAGGCCCCAGAAAATCAACTTAGGTCCTAGCTTGGCAGGACGTGCCTTTACCTATGAACCATCTTCTTGACCTTACTTACAATGAGAAAAGCAAGGCTTCAAGGGTTGAGGACTTAGCTCAGTGGTAGAGCCTTACCCAGTATATGCAGGGCTCTGGGGTGCTTACATATACACTGAGGCTTGGGAATTTCGTGACTTTAGGTTACTAGCCCAAGCTCACACAGGGAGAAGAGATGAGATAAAAATCCAGTTTCTAGATTTCCAGGCCTTTGGTCACTCAGTTGTAGCCATCACTCCTCACCAAATATCAAAGTTGGGTTCAGGCAGGCAATAGTAAGTCTGTTTTGTTTTGAAAATGCATAGGGAGCAGGGAGAGGCCCCAGTAGGTAAAGGCATTTACCAGGAAGACTCAGGGGTCTGTGCTTCATCCTTGGAAGGGGTAAAGAGAAAAAAGTTGTCCTCTGACCTCTCCATGCACGCTGTGGCACACTTCTTCCCCAGTACAGAAGTCAGTAGACTGTATATTAAAAAAAAAAAAAAAAGGCATACTGGGCTCGGTTGGTAAAATGCTTGCTAATCCTGGGTTTGTATCCTAGCACCCATAAAACCAGGAATGGTGGCACACCTCTATTCCCCTAACACTTGGGAGGAAGTCAAAAGAATGAATAGCATAAGGTCATCTTCTAGTTTGGGAAACATAAGATCCTTGAAAATCAAAACAAAACACAATGAAGGCTGGCAGTGATGGCCCATGTCTTTAATCCCAGCACTTGGAAGGCAGAGGTAGGAGGATCTCTGAGTTCGTGGCCAGCCTGGTCTACAGAGCGAGTTCCAGAACAGCCAGGGCAGCACAGAAAAACCCTGTCTTGAAAAACCACCTCTCCCACCACCACCACCAACAAAAAAAAACCAACCCAAAATTGGAAAAATGTATTCTCTGAGCTCCAGCGATCATTGTAGCAGTACACAGTGATCGGCACCAGTGCCGTCAGTGTACGGATGGAGAAACCGAGGTTCAGAGAGGCAAATTGACACATCACAGGCACTCTATCGCTTCAGCGACTTCAAAGCGCCCCGGCAGCCGCGGGCTCCGAACTCGCGCCTCCCGCAGCGCACGCGCACTGGGCTGGACCGAGCGCGCGCGCGCACACACGGGCGTGTGCGAGTGCGCGCGCGGGCGTGGCGGGAGCGAGGACGACAGCTGGGGGGGCGGGGGAGCGTGCGCGCGCTGACGTGCCGGGCGCCATGTTGGAGGGCTGGTGGTAGCGGCTCGGGGAGGTTCTCGCTCTGTCCGTCTCGCTCCGTCTCTCGCTTCCCCCCCGGCTCCCTCCGGGACCCCCCCTGCCCGGTCGCCGGCGTGTGGCGGAGTGTGTGCGAGGGCGGGGGCGGGCGTCGGGGGGGCGGGGGCGGGCGCCGCGGCCCCCGGGACGGCGGCCGAGGGAGGCGCCGGCGGCGAGGGACTCCGCGGCGCCATGGACGTCGAGAGGCTGCAGGAGGCGCTGAAAGGTGGGGGGTCGCCGCGCTGCCGGCCGCGCGTCCGGGCGGAGGCCGCCCGCGTCTCCCCGCGGCCCCCGCGCCGGGCTTTGTGTGGGCCGCGGGGGTGGGGGGAGGGGAGCGCCTGACACCGGCGCGGCCTCGTCGGGCGGCAGCGGCGGCGGCGGCGGCGGCGGCCTCTGGGCCTGGGGAGCCCCGCTCGCCCTCACCACGCCGGGACCGAGGCTTGGCGAGCAACAGGCTCGAGAACACTGCTTCCCAAACTTGGAACTGTGGGGTCCTGGCGTCCTGAGAACCCCCTTTTGACATCCAGGAGCATTTGGGGGATGGTGGCTTTAGTGGGCTGACCTGGGAGTAGCTGTATTCAGATGTACGCTGCGGGGATCGGGGCTGGGATCGGTTGCTGGGGCTCCCCTGCACCGCTCTTGGGGGAACGCTGAAGGATGGTTTAGTGAGGTGGAGTGCCCCCTTTAGGAGAATTCGCGCTGTCGGTGGAAAAGGGTGACACGGAGGTATTCGGATGAGAGGCAGATTTTCTTTCGTTTTTGTTTTGTTTTTGTTTTTTCGAGACAAGGTTTCTCTCTGTACACTTGGCTGTGCTGGAGCTCACTCTATAGACCGGGTTGGGCTCGAACTCAGATCCGCCTGCCTCTGCCTCCTGAATACTAGGATTAAAGGCGTGCACCTCCACGCCCAGCTGAGACCAATTTTCTTAATTGTTTTCTAATGTTGAGAAAGACTTTGTGAATAAAGTTTTCTTGGAGAGGACGTGCTAATAACCTTTCTCTTCTTTCCCTTACCTAGATTTTGAGAAGAGGGGGAAAAAGGAAGTTTGTCCTGTCCTGGATCAGTTTCTCTGTCACGTAGCCAAGACTGGAGAAACCATGTAAGTAGAAGCATGGATGGGTTCATGTTTAGAGTTGTTTAAGAAGGTGGGAAAAGAGGACTTCAGAATGCTCACATAATAGGCGACCTTGGGGGTAGGTGAGACAGTCCAACTGGTTAAGGTGTTTAATACCAGGTCTGAAATTCCACTTAGGGAGTCCCACTTAATGGAAGGTGAGAACTGACTCCGCGGAGTTGTCTTTGAACTCATACCTAAGAATAAATCAATACGTTTAGTAAGAAAAATTGGAAATGCCTTAGTTAAAGATCACAGTGAAGGCAAGACTCCTGGTGTGTAGCCTAACAGTTGTTAAGAATCTATCAGTTTTCTGGATATCTGCTTTGGCACAGGGAGAACCTGCTAGCTTGAAAGAACCATAGAAAAGAATGTTTCAATATGGTGTTCTTGATTATTGAAAACAGGTTTATTCCCACAGTTTTGTGGCTTTGATACTACTATTAGAGCGTTGTTGGCATTTTTTTTTGTGTTGTCCTGTATCCAGTCTTTTGTTGTCATACTTACCCTTGTGGTTGTTTGACGTCTAACTTGTATTTATGAGGGTGATTATATGACACATACCAGATGAAGCTGTCTCTGTCCTGACAGAATCTTTAGCTAACTTACTACATATACCCAATATCTTACTAGGCTTGTTTCCAAATGTTGTTAATCTGAACTTATACTGTATTTTTCAAAAGGAAAAATGTGGTTTATTGTTCTGTAGTTGGTGTAATAGAAGTTGCTTTCACTCTCTGGCTCAGGTACGTTGTGTCAGACAGCCTGTCTTTGTAAATTGAGGACGGTCGGGTGAGGATCAGGCAAGAGGAAAGGGTATTTTGGGTTCAGTGTTAGTGAGCTCTGCTTAGTTTTAGTATAACATTCAGCAAGGAATTATGTATCTTGTCTGCCATTATCATTTTTCAGACATGGTCTCATTCTGTAGCCCTGGTTGAATTTGAACTCAGTAATTCTTACTGTCCCTGCCTTTCAGGATTAAAGCTTTGGGCAGCTGTGCCAGGCAGTTTTTATTTTTATTTTTTAAGGCAGGTTCAAGCTCCAGCTCAGATAGCTCTAAGTTATTAGGTAGCCTAGACTGACCTCAAACCCTAGACAATTCTATCTCAGCCACCAAGTACTGGAGTTACAGATGGGAGCTGCTACCCTCAGCTTTCCTCGTTGTTGTTGACGTCATATTGTTGTTGTTGTTATTACTATTGGCGCTGGAGCTGGACCCTAGAATCTCATGTGCTAGACAAGAGCTCTTCCACTGAGCCACATTCTCAGCTCCCTTAAAAATTTTGTGCTAATGTCTCTTTAAGGTACCTACACTGACTCTAAATTTAGGTTCTTTCTGCTTTCATCTCTGTAGTGCTGGGATGACATGCAGGCCCCGACATGCTCAGCTCTGTCTTGGTTAACAAGTGTTCATTTCTTACAAGATTTGCTTATGACTGCAGTTTAACTTTCTAGTAAGTAGCTGGATTTCAGGAAGAAAAAGTATCTGATATAGTGCATAATTTAGTAGTTATACAAGCAGAACCTCTTCAGTGGTCTATTAAAATACGTCCATCAGGGCCAGGAGGTAAGTGGCACACACCTTTAATCCCAGGATTTGGGAGGTTGGTGGATCTCCGTGTTCAAGGTCAGCCTGATCCAGTGTGAGTTTTTTGGATGGTCTGTCTTAAAAAAAAACAAAACAAACAAAAAAAAAAAAACTAAAACAGTCAGGTGGCAGTGGTGGTGCACGCCTTTAATCCCAGCACCCAGGAGGCAGAGGCCGGTGGGTCTCTGTGAGTTCAAGGCCAGCCTAGTCTACAAGAGCTAGTTCCAGGACAGGCTCCAAAGGGGGAAAAAAAAATCCTCAGAAACAGCTGAGTGTGGTGGTGCCTTTAATCTCAGGAGGCAGAGGCAGGTGGATCACTGTGAGTTCAGGGCTAAGAATGGAATCTTTGCCAGGCATGGTAGGGCCCAGCAGAGGGTTAAAGGCAGAGACAGGCAGTTCTCTGAGTTGGAGAATAGCTTGGTATACATAATAGTTCCAGGATAGCCAAGGCTACACAGTGAGTCCCTTTCTTAAAAACAAAAATCATTTGCTGTGCCAGAGAGATAGATAGCTCAGTGGTTCCAGAGGACTCAGTTCTGATTTCTTGTACCCACTTGTAGTCTCACAACTCTCTAACTCCAGGTCCAGGGGAGCTGATGGCCTCTTCTGCTTCCATTGGCACAGTCCTGTGGTGCACATTTATATGTTATGTGCACATTATATGTAGGCAGAACACCCAAGATGGATGCAAGTCACTGGTTTTACTTATTTAGGAAAGCCTAAAAATGACTAGGTGCCATCTTTTAAAAATAAATTACTCCCTAAAATATCATTGCCTCTTTTGCTTGTGTTGTTGACAGGACTAAGCTATTTCTGTATTACTAGAAGAAAAGCATTTTATTTCCTCAAGTTTTTTTTTTTTTGACTTGCAAGATAATTTTAGCTGGGTGTTAGTGGTACATGCTTTTAATCCCAGAATTTGAGAGGCAAAGGCAGGCAGGTCTCTTGAGTTTAAGGCTAGCCTGGTATACAGAGTAAGTTCTGGTATACAGAGTAAGTTCCAGGACAGCCAAGGTTATGCAAAGAAACCCTTTCTTGGAAAAGAGGGGGGGTATATTAGAGACTGTGATGCTTATTAGTCTGGTCTATACAAATTGCTTTAACTTTTTGTTAAGCACATTGCTCTAGTGAAAGTTTCTGAAAGGTAACTTTAATGTTCTATCTTATCCTGTCCTACTGGGTCACCAGATTTTGAATCTTCTGCTTACTACATTTGGATGTTGTATATTTAGATGTTCTGTATTAAATGATTGGTGCTTTTATATTCTTTATTACATTTGGTGAAGTTTGGATGATTCCCCCCCCCCCAAATTAGGTGTGGCCTTTGCTTGCTTGTTTTTCCCTGGTCCTAGAGTAGAACCTGGGCCTTGCACCGTGCTCAGCCATTGAGTCAAGCTGCAGAACCAGATAGTGATTACTTTGTTTTCCTGGTGTTGGAGATCACATCCAGAACTTTCTGTGTGCTAGGTAGGTGCTTCGCTCCTGATCTACATCCCCAGTCCAATATGTGGAGTTTTTTTTTTTTAGTGAACTTTTTTCCACAAGAAAAATCCCTGGTTTTGGAGATGAAATGATTGGATTAGTATAGCCCAAAATTATGACATGGATCTATCATTACACACTCGCAAGTGTGGATATGATGGTAATGTTAAGAATGTTAAGTTTTTAATGTGTATGGGTGTTTTGTCTGCATATATGTCTGTGCACTGTGTGAATGCCATGCCTGCCAGTATCAGAAGCCTGTGTGAAGTTATGGTAGTGAGCTGTCTTGTGGTGTTTGGAAATGAATCCAGATCTTCTGGAAGAGCTATTAGTACCCTTAACTGTTGAAGTATCTTAAGATCCAGCCCCAAAAAAGTTTTTTTTTTTTAAACAGTTACCTAATTTGTAGTGGTCACCCCTGTTTTGAGTCTCATTTTGTAGCCATAGCTGTCTCCTTACGGGGTTTTGGTTTCTAGGCATGATCTCTGTTGTGCCACATTCAGGAGCTCAGTATGAGCAGAGTGGTCCCTTCAGATCTTCACTCACTGGCACAGTGGCCAAGAGCATTTCATTTTTAACTGCTGCTCTCAAGTTGGGCTGCCAATGCTTCCTGGTGGGTTTTTTTTGTTTGTTTGTTTGTTTTTTGTTTTATTTTGTGATGATTTTTAGTTTAGGGCCTTGATCTCTATACTATTATTTCCTCTTGAACAGGTAGGTCCCAGTGATCAGCTTTTCCTCACCCTTTGGGGAGTTTGCTTGGGCTTTTTATTTTATTGTCTAGTCTGTCTGGTGGTGCTTTGAGAAATGACCTAAAGCCAAGAATACCATTCTTTCTGATTTTCATTTTTAAAGAAAAACTTAAATCCTTGCTAGACCAGTGCTGTGTAGTCTTTTTCCACTCATCTACTCACCCCAGATAGGGAGCCCACGACAGACCAAAGTACGGAACTTGGTGAGCTAATGAGTTTTATTGGGGATACTTATAGGGATATGAGTGAGGAGTTGTTTATAGGAGCGGAGATGACTCAAAGACAGTTGCATCACCAAAGCCCACCTCCGCATGGGTGTCAGTTCACAAAATCCGGGAAGCCCGGAACACATGTTTATTTCTTACTTTTGTGTGTCTGGGTACAGGTGTGGAGGTCAGGACACCTGGCAAGAGTTATCTCCTTCCACCATTGGCCCCAGATTCAAACTCAGGTCAGGTTGTGTGCCATCTTACTAGCCTCAGGTGTTTTGTTTTTTTGTTTTGTTTTCTTTTTAATGGTGGAAGGTACAGATTAAAGACTTTTTCCCCCCTTCCTCAGATCTAACTACTGCTGATTTCTCCTTTAATTTTAAGGGTGTGTAGCATCTGAAACTTGGTCTGTTGTATGAGCTTTAGTTTTGTTAGTTAATTTCACTGTACCTATAACCCCTAAAGTAATACTGCTTTTGTGTTATTGTTTGTGTGTATGAACTTCGGGAGCATGCCTGTGCACAGGCATGTGGATGCCAGAATTGGAAGCTCACCTTTTTGGCTAAGCGGGGTTGATTGGAGCTCTCAGGATCCCCCCATCTCCACCCTGTAATGCTGGGGTTACAGGCATGAAAAGCCACACCCTGCTTTTTATGTGGATGCTGAGAATTCAAATTTAGGTCCCTTAAGCACTCTTACCTTCATATCTCCCTAGACTTTCCCTCTCCCACCAAGGTTTTCTTATTAGCATATATTACTTTATACATAATGGATGGATTTCAGTACTTTTTTTTTTTTTTTAAAGGTAGGATTTCTTTATGTAGCCTTGACTGTCCTGGAACCTGACCAGGCTAGCCTCGAACTCAGGGTCATCTGCCTCTGCCTCTGGAGTGCTGGGATTAAAGGTGTGCTCTACCACCTTGGCTTCAATATGAGGTTTATGTGTGCAGGATCTCA